CAGATAATTACCCAAGACAATGTCCAGCTGCCACATACCACTCCTCCAGCACAGCACACCCTAACCAGGTCACAGTCAGAGACCATTCCAATGGATATGTTTCTTCTTTTTATTTTTTTGTCTTTTTGAAACAGGGTCTCCCTGTAGCCCCAGCTGTCTTGGAACTCACTATGTAGACCAGGCTGGCCTCGAATTCACAGAGATCCACCTGCCTCTGCCTCCTGAGTGCTGGGATTAAAGGCGTGCGCCCAGCAATATGCTTCTTCTTTTATAAAAACAAGGGAGAACTGTGAGAATGTCTTCTGGGACAGTCTCAGCTTATGTGTATGCGTGCATGTGTCTGTGTGTAGGGAAAATATTAAGCCTTGCAAACAAATATTCCTTGGAAACAATGGGTTACCCCATTTATGGTGCAAACTAAAGGTGGGATTAGATTGGTTTGTGGGTGTGTGCTGCTCTAGGACAATACAGATCAGAAAGGACATAATCCTCTGGTAACCAAGTTCCTCTTTTCTCTTGTGATGCTGAATATATAGTTTCAATAAAGAGAAAGCCTTTGTTCTGGAGTACAGTTCCAAGAAAAATCTGAAGGAACCAGCTTCTAGAACAGAGTCAGGCTGTCTTCATTCAGGCATCCCTGTAATGTGGCCCCAGCACCGCTGCAAAATTCATTATTTTGGGTGGTTTAATGTATGTGGTTTTAAGTTACTAAATTCCCCAAATTTGGTCTGTAACACACAAATCAACTAAACTTAAAGGGGAGTGGATCTCTGAAATCCAAATAAAAGTTCTAAAGCGTTCACTTAAGGGGATAGTTACAAAGTATCTCTAGAATATGGCACCAAATTTTTTAAAAAAATTTCCTAACATGCACAGTATAGCTGAAAGTCCTTTACATTTACCATAAATGCCAAACTTTCTAACCAAGTTTTCCTCAGACATTACTGTACTTTGAAAAAGGAGTTCCGGGGCTGGAGAGATAGCTCAGCAGTTAAGAGTACTGGCTGCTCCTGCAGAAGGCCTGGGTTCAAATCCACATTAGCACCCATGTGGCAGCTAACAACCATCCATAACTCCACTTCCAACTGATGTGAGACCCTCTTCTGTCCTCCACATTGCACCACTCTGGTGCACTTATATACATGCAGGCGTAACACTCATACACATAAAATAAAAATAATTTAAAAAAGAAAAAGGAGTTAGAAAGTCAATCATTTACTCCCAGCCCAACAGCAGGATTAAATTATATGTCAATGGAAGAAGCTAATTATCTGAGCACTCCAAAGCATCTACGGAAGAATTCCAAAGTTGTTCTTCGGTCAAACATATAAATTATCAAGATGCCGCTTTCTAATAAAGTATAAAAACTCAAATGTTGACCAAATTGGGAGAGCAGAGCAAGCAGTAAGAAAAATAGTCTATTACACAGCAAATCCATGTCTGTCTGTCTAAATATTAAGACTATGAAGCTAACTAGTATCAGAAAAAGAGAGAAAGGGAGGGAAGCTAGAGACATGGCTCAGCAGTGAAGAGCACAGGCTGCTCTTGCAGAGGACCTGGGTTTGGTTCCCAACACCCACATGGCAGCAAACAACCATCATTAACTGCAGTTTCAGACCATCCCATGCCCTCTTTTGGCCTCTGTGGGTACTGCATGCCTATGGTACACTCATATACACGCAGGCAAAATACTCCACATAAAATGAAAAAATTTTTAATTTAAAACCAGCCTGGAGAGCTGGCTCAGAGGTTAAGAACACTTGCTGTCCTTCCAGAGGACCCAGGTTCAACTCCAAGCACCTACATCATGGCTAACAACCGTCAATAACTCCAGTTCCAGGGGATCCAACTTCTTCAGTCCTCTGCAGGGCAATGCACACACAAAGTGCACTTACATGCAGGCAAAACATTCATACACACAATATTAAAATTAAAACAATTGGGGCTGAAGAAATTGCTCAGTGGTTAAGAGCACCGGCTGTTCTAGCAGAAGACCCAGGTTTGAATCCCAGCACCCACTAGGTGGCTAACAACCATCTGTAACTCCAGTTCCAGGGGATCTGATGTCCTCAGAGAGCAATGCACAACACACGTGCACTTACATACATGCAGGCATGGCATTCATACACATAGAATGAAAAAATTAAATTAAAATTTAAAAAACTTTTTTAAAGTGTAAATGAAGAGGGAAGTCCCACCCTGGGTACAGACAGTACCAATCCATGAGCTAGAGTTCAAATTGGAATAAAAAGTGTTAAGTAAACTTGGGGGCTGGCGAGATGACTCAGCAGTTAAGAATACTGGTTGTTCTTGCAGAAGACCCAGGTTCAAATCCCAGGACCCACATGGCAGCTAACAACTGTCTGTAACTCCAGTCCCAGGGGATCCAACAGCCTCTTCTGACCTCCATGGGCATGGCACAACACAGGTGTACACTTACCTACATGCAGGCAATACACACATACACATAAAATAAAAATAATATTTTTTTTTAAAGTTAAAAAGAAAGTGTTAAGTAAACTAAACAAATCAGCCTTCATCTCACTGTTTCCCAGCTATGGATGCAATGTCACCCGCCTATCTCCATGACCTACTGTGTTCCCTAAAACTAAAACTAAAAGCTAAAATAAATACGTCTTCCCTAAATTGCTTCTAGTCAGATATTTGGTCAAAGCAACAAGAAAAAAACTAATTTATTGTCAATGTTCATTATTTTTTTCAGTTTCTCAATGGAGGTTTGACAGGCAGAGATAGGGTTTACCTAGCATGCACAAAGTCCCAGGTACTATGCCCAGCACTAGAGAAAATTAAAAAGCCTAACATCACTTTGCATCATATGCCTGGTTCTCAAATAGTTTTATTAACAGAGTTGGAGGTGGGAAGAGGAACAAAATTTCAGTAAAAGGAAAAATATGTCTAGGCACATGGAGCTCCATGCACCCTGACCTCTAAGGGAGAAGGGGTGACTAGCTTTGTAGCTTCTCACCTAAATCTATTTTGAGGAGGGAAAAAACACTAGAAAACGTTAAAATAACAGCCTGGCATTAATTACTATGATGCCAGAAAGCCCCTTTTACAAGCCTACAACTGTACAGAAGCATACAGCCCATGAATCTAAAATACCTATGCACAAGTATTTTTGGAGGTTCCATTATTTTCAACAAGGAAGAAAAATCCAAGGAAAGACAAATTCCCCAACATCTCACTCAAATTCTCTTGGAACATTTGCATGTCAGCACAGCTAACATTTTCTCCCTCTGATTTTAAAATAACATGACTATTGCAATTTCTACAGGTTCTTTTCATATGCCTATGACTTAATCCCACTTATAGAAGCCTCTGTGAAGCTCACCTGCTATAAAATTGTCTCCCTAGGAATCTGCATTACAAAATGCTCCCAAAACACCTGTCACAAGCACCTTTATACTTGGTTTTCCTTCCTTCTCATGCTGGCATCGTTGTCCCTTCACTCAGTTTGTCACTGTGCCTGCTCACCAGAAGATTAAAGCTACTCCTGCTTCTCAAGAGTAGAACTCTAACTCTGTTCCTTTCCCTCACCTCTCTCTAAATGCTCATGGTCCAGCCACTCAGCAGACAAAGAGGAGGCAGGAGGGATCATTTCTTATGGTCATTCTCCCTACTCCTCATTGCACCTACTGAAGAGAGTGTATTCAGTAGGGACTCAAAAATGTTTCCCATGGGGCTGGAGAGATGGCTCAGCAGTTAAGAGCACTGGTTGCTCTTGCAGGGGACCTGGGTTCAATTCCCAGCACCCACATGGCGGCTAACAACCATCCATAACTCCCGTTCCCAGGGATCTGATGCCCTCTTCTGTCCTCTGCAAGCACTGCACAACACAGGTGCGCTTACATACATGCAAGCAATACAGTCCTACACACTAAAAAGATTTTAATTTTTTTTAAAGTTGGAAAAAGGGTTAGAAAAATTTTAGCTGTCAAGTGTTCATGGCTGAAATCCTCATGTTTTATTCCAAGTTATCTTAAATGTGCTTTGTCAGCTAATTGCTTTTAAGAGATTGTTTAAAAACAGAAGAAATGACCTTCAAGCTGCCCATTGTGAAAGGGAAAAATGAGCTTTAAATGGCATTTAAATCTTCATGATTACAGTTAATAATTAAGAATGCTCTAAAAGAAAAAAAAAGCCAACAAAAAGGGGAAATCCTCCATGTTAAACTGCTGGTATACTTTCCACAAAGATTTAGAATTTAACCCACCTTCATGAAGACATAGAGGAAAACACGTATGCAATTAATGGAAAAATAACACTGGAAGAACTTACATTCAAGCTACACACAGCTAAGTTAGTATATATTTTTTAAAAAGTGACAAAACAGAATTAACACCCCATCTCTATTCATGACCAACAGAACAGAATACAGAGACTGCAAACCTGGGATAAGAAACCTAGACATTAGTAAGGTAAAACTGAAGTTGTCCTCTACTGGGGATTTTCTTTTTTAGGGCGTGAGGGAGGATACGTGTACCCTGGTCAAATGCTTTTTTAAAATTCAAAAAAAATATTATTTGATGGCCGCCTTCTTATTCAGAGGGCTGTCAGGGAATAAAAAGGGATTGTAAATCTGACTCGTGGTGCGGATCACAGCATCCTCCTGCCTCAGTCACATCCCCAATTCTTCCGAGGAAGCAGGGCGAGTGGAGACAGCCACACCCCTGAGTGCTGCCGAGCAACCCGCGGGTCGGACTCCGAAGCCTCGCAGCGCACCACACCCCCTCCGCGGCCCAGGAAACCAGACTCGGTCCACGCCACCGCCTGTCCTCCCTGCCTCCCGCCCCCGCCAGCACACCCGCGACCCCCAGCTTCCGCCCAGCTCCCCCGCGCCGCCCGTGGTACCCGAGCGACCACTGGCCTCCAGGGCGCCGGGCCCCGCGCAGCCGCGTCCGCTCCCACCTCCCCGCCGAGCTCCGCTGGCGGTCCTCGGCCCCCGCCCCCGGCGCGCAGCCCACCCGCCCTCCGCTCACCTGGCCGGCCACTGCTCCTTCGCACTGCCCGGCCTGCCCCGCCGCGGCCTCGGAGGAAGCGCGGGCCGCGGGTCCGCTGGAAGTCCGCTGAGGAGGGGGAGGGGGATGCCGGGAGCCGCCTCCTTTCTCCTCGCCGCCGGCTCCCGCAGCCAGGCCGCGGGTCCGCGCCCACTCGCCCACTTTCTCACGGCCTCGCAGTCGGCCTACCTCTCCCTCCCCCCCCACTCCCACACACTCACTCCCACACGCTCACACCCGGCCGCTCCGCGCTCCCTCACTCGCCTGTCGCTCGCTCGCGCGTGCGCGCGACCCCGTTCACACACAGCGCGCGACGCCGGCGAGGCCGCCCAGCGTCCCGCTTCCAAGCCGAGCCTAGCCGAGCGGAGCCGAGCGGAGCCGAGCGGCGCCGAGTCAAGGCCCCGCCCCCTGGCGCCGCACTTTCGGGCGGGGGTCGGCGGGGGCGAGGCGGGGCGTCGAGCGCGGCCGAGTGGGACTGACACCTGCGGCCCGAAGGGAGCCACGGGGCGCGCTCTCGGCCGAGGGCAGCACGCGGGGCTGCGAGGACGCGCTTTCCCACCCGCCCCCAAACCGTCCTCGGAGAGCCGGGAGAGCCGGTCGGGGGCGAGGTTTGTTCCCGCGACACCGCGAGAGTGGAACAGGCCGTGCGGTTGCGCGCCCTCCCGCCCTCGCTTCCCCTCCTCGAGCTCCGGCAGCGCACACTGATGCCTGCCCGCGGCTCGCAGGATCCTGCCAGGGACTCACGCCACCCGCCGCCGCCTAGAATCCTGGTCCTGGGGTCTTGCCTCTCCCAAAGGCAGAGCTCTGGGCACAAAGATCATGGATAACGGATAGAGTCCTAACCCGCGCATGCAGTCCAGACAATGCCTCTGTAAAGGCACGTTTCAACTGCATCTTAAGCCGGGCGTGGTGGCGTCTACCTTATCCCAGCCCTCAGGGAGGCTGAGACAGGGGAGACCACGAGTTTGAGCCCAGCAAGAGCTACACGACGCGCGACCCAGTGTCACAAAAGAAAAGAACTGCATCATAAAAATTCTGCGGACTCGGCTGGTTCAAAGATAGACTAGGAACCAGGGTGAACCTAGAAAGGATAGCCCCGAGTTGCTGTAGGAATAAACATGTTTAAGAGCATCTCGTTGATAACATAAACCTAAGATGAAATACAATCACAGTCCAAAGGAGGCTAAGAATTGGACTGCGTTCAGCTACACTACTCCCTTTCCAAGACCCATGAATAAAAACCAAAGGTGGTAGGTGACCTCCTCTCTCTAAAGATTCATTTACAAATAACTTCAGTCACCAGATCCCAGAGGTGGGCGGCAGTTCTCAGCTTTCACCCCCTTCAAATCACTTCGGCCAACTTCTAGCCATTGCTCCTTTTTCAATCATTTCATCCAGTCCTGCCTGGACTGGAGGGAGGAGAGCATTGTTGCCTCTGATTTCTCGCACATAGAGTCCTGAAGAGCTCTAATGAGCATAACTACCAGGTACAGGTACCCACCACCAAGCCAGGTGACAAGAATTCCATCCCACATGGTTGAGAAAACCAGCTCCCTCAAGTTGTTCTCTCACCTACACACACACACACACACATACACACACCACTAATTTTTAAAAAAATTTTAAAGATCTGTATCATAGCCAAGCCTACCAGCATTGGCCTGCTGATTCCATTACCTATGATCTTCTGAAGTCATCTCCCCTGTGTGTTAATCTGATTGTCTATAAGAAGGGGATAAAAAGAAAGTTATGTATTTTATTTAGAATTCTCATAAGGACTTAATAAGCACAGCGATTCCTTAATATTCATGATAATTCGTTCTAGCACTCTCCTCAGATATCAAATTCCAGGGAACTTCAAGTCCTGAATGTAAAATGATGGGTAATGGTGCATATAACCTACACACATCCTCCTGGATACTTTAAACCCTCGCTAGATGACTTATAATACCTACTACAACAAATAGCAAGCCAGTGTTGCTATCCAGCATTGTTAGGGGGTAATGACAAGAGAAAACACCTGATCATGTTCAGTACAGACCAATTTTGGTTTTTTTTTTCTTTAATTAAATGTTTTTAATCCACAATTGATTGAATTCAAAGATAAAGAAATCTGACTGACCCAGGGTGAAGGCTCACACTTTTAATCCTAGCACCTAGGAGGCAGAGGCAGATGGATCTCTGTGAGATTGAAGCAAATCTGGTCTACATAATGAGTTCCAGGCCAGCTGGGGCTACTGGGAGACTCTGTCTAGAAAGAGAAAGAGAAAGAGAGAGGGAGAGCAAGGGAGAAAGGAAGGGCGGAGAGAGGGAGGGGAGGAAGGAAGAGGGGCTGGAGAGATGGTTCAACAGTTAAGAGCACCAGTTGCTCTTGCAGAGGGCCTGGGTTTGATTCCCTGCACACACATGGTGGCTAACAACATCCATAACTCCAGTTTCAGGGGATCCAAATTTGTCTTCTGACCTCCGAAGGCATTGCATGACATGGGTACACTTACACACATGCAGGCAATACACTATATATCATAGGTACAAAAAAAAATTTTAAGAGAAAGGAAAAGCAAAAAAACAGTCTCTACATAATACTAGCTGACACAAAGGACAAACTGGTTAAAGCTAGTCTATTATACCATTGAGAGCTACCTAAGATAGTGAACAGTCTTCACAAAGGACACAGAGAAACAATTGTGTGCTATGACCATAGTGCCTTCAGAAGAAATAGAATACAAACTACAGAGCTAAAATACTGACTTCTCTGAGTGAGCCTCCTGGGTCATAAAGTATATTCCACCAAAAGACCAATAAAAAAAGCAGTCTGTGATAAAGGGAAACTTCATCACAGAGAAGCTAACATTTGGAAAATCTGATCCTCCAAAATACCCAAGGAAATTGACACGGGAAATACTTGCACGAATAGCCTGATCTGTATACTGTAACAAAATCCAATTCATGGTAACCATATACCCAGAAAAAGTAGGTTGTGCTGGTGAAACTGGTGCAGAGTATTAAACTATCGATTCACTGGCTACTTGTATTCAAAATAGACTACCATTCTCTGACTTGCCACGCACATCCCAAGATATCCCAATGTGTACAACAGTGTTTTCAACTTAGGCCAATGGGGAAAGCAGTGCTATCTAAAAAACAAAGCCAATGACATGATCTTTGATTTCCATTTCATCTGTTGTATGTAAGTGATATAAAAAATAAAACCAGGCAGGTGTGGTGGCCTTTAATCCCAGTACTCAGGAGGCAGAGGCAGGTGGATCTCTTTGAGTTCAAGGCCA